TTTCCAATTTTTTTTTTTTTTTTTTTTTTTTTTAATTGCTCCTTAATTGTATACTTTTATATTGAGTTTATCATGGATGTGTGCTCAATATTTTTCATTTTTTTGGCATTATAAATTACTGTTTATTTTTCATGCTTCGTATCACTGCGCTTTCGTACTACTTGTAATAGATAAGAGTACAAATGATGCCATTACCATTAGGTGTGATGTCTTACCTAGAAACGAAAATAAATTAACTTGCCCACGGTAATTTTCAACCAGTAAATTATCTTTGCACCGTTTCTTAAAAATCATAATTTTTTCCTGTAAACAATAATTAGTATTTTTTTACTCTGATAGCACGACTAGTTTTGCCTAAGATTTTTTTTCGATGTTCTCAGCCGTTTTGCTTATATCATATAAATTACGATAAATTTTATAGTATTTGGCCAGCTTTAATTATAAATACGTGGTTGGATGAGAAGGTAAAAACTAGCTTGGACTGCAATTGTTTTTTCTCAAACGAGCTAATTATGACTTTTTAAACATTTTATGCGATCGCAATAATATGCAATAAAATATTTTACTTACATTTAGATAATGTAAAAATTAATTTTTATAAGCCGTGACAAGTATATGTTTGATGGTTCGTTAAATAAAAAAATGTATTTTGTAGGTGGCCATAAAAATTATCGACAAAACGAAATTAGATGAAGACAATTTGGCAAAAATATTTAGGGAAGTGAGCATAATGAAGAGACTGAGGCATCCGCATATAATTAGACTGTATCAGGTGATGGAGACGGAAAAAATGATATACTTGGTAACGGAGTTGGCATCGGGTGGTGAAATATTCGATTATTTGGTGAAAAACGGAAAAATGTCGGAACCAGAGGCGAGAAGAGTTTTTCATCAAATAATACAAGCAGTAGCCTATCTGCACAAAAAAGGAATTGTTCATCGAGATCTTAAGGTGTTGGATCATTTTTACACGGTTTTGTTGCCGTTGCTCACTTTGCACCAATTTTCATTTACCCAATTTTTCAGTCTGAGAACGTATTATTGGATGCAGACAATAACGTGAAACTAGTTGACTTTGGCTTTAGCAACGAGTACACGCCAGGAGTACTTTTGACCACTTGGTGTGGCTCACCACCCTACGCCGCGCCAGAAATTTTCCAAGGTAGACAATACGACGGTCCAAAAGTAGATATCTGGGTAGGTAGCGTTGTAATTTCCACAAAGATACAAATCTGAATTTTTTCAACAATATTTTTAATTTAAAAAAAAAAAAAAAAATGCTTACGGTCTGCAGAGTTTAGGAGTAGTGCTGTACGTATTAGTTTGTGGAGCTTTACCATTTAATGGGCCAACCATGCATTTATTGACGTCAGCGGTGTTTTCGGGAAAATTCAGAGTGCCCTTCTTCATGTCTCAAGGTACATACATAAAAAATGCCTTAAAAGTAATAATTGATTGGTAAAAAAAAAAAAAAACTAAGTCCGAGTTCTTGTTCCCACAAGACTGTGAGCACCTGTTGAAGCACATGCTGGTGCCAGATCCAGAGCGGCGTTACAGCATACCGCAGATCCTGGCGCACAGGTGGATGGGCGGCGATGGGAGCGGCCAACCGGTCGAGAGTGTCATCGACATGCCCGACACGACAGCGTCAACTTTGCCGTTGAACCAATTGGTCATCGAAAGCATGCTCACACTGCCCGGTCTCGATCTGGACACGTTGCTCCAGTCGGTCCAGGGCAACGCCTTCAACCACATCTCGGCGATATACAACCTACTCGTCGACCAGCTGGAGAACGCGGTGACGAGCGTACCCAGTATACAGAGTTTTTCGGCTGGTTACGTGTCCGACGACGATGCACATCAGTTGGAAAAGGTAAGGGCTTTATTATTTCGGGAAAAAATTTCTTCGAGAAAAGCTTGATTGACGATTTCTCAAACTTTGCAGCACATGACAAGATCTTTTACGTTCGTTCGATTAATTGTATTTCTTGTTTTATTTAAATCGTATACATATATAAATATACNTATATATATATAAATATAAATGTAACAATTATTTATAGATTATAAATATTTGTGCTAAAAAGCTTAACATCATTGTTCAGTGAAAATTTACGCTTTAATCATCAGAAAGAAAGAAAGAAAGAATAATTGACCCACAGTGTTGACCCTCGTAAACAAGTCCATTAGACCGACTGGTTGGAAACAAAAAAGTTTTAATGGCTAAAGAATTACTTATTAATTTATACAACGTTAAACCAACGAGTGGTTTGGCCGAAACGTCAGTTAATGGGAAAATTTAATGTACCTTTAATTGACACTTCAAAGATAAATGCTACCATCACGTGCACGATAATTTTTGAAGAACGACGCGATAACAAATCACTCAAAAAACGTCACTGACATTTACCAATTCTTATCTCTGCCAAACAATTTATTTCAATTAAACGTTCGAGTCTCTTTAACGAAGGAGATCATTTAAAGCAGCCGATTCGAGAGTCAAATACTTTTCTGAGTAAAGTACTTAACGGCAACTTGAAGTTTTTATTTAATTCACGAATTCATCATTTCACAGTTTGGAGAAACAGAAGGTGGGGAAACAGAGGAACGAAGTGGACTTCAGCTGCCAAGCAATCAACCATACCACGCAACGCGCCGTCATACCGTAGGTCCAGGTGACACGGCACATCAGCCTCAGGGCGTTCCGTATACCAGGTATTACGGCTATTCGCCAGGATATGCGCCTCATTTACTCCAACCATTGAATGCAGAGTTACCCTTGCTACCGCATACGAATTTAGCTCTCAATCTGCCTCTCGTCCAGAACCAACCACCACAAAATTTCCAGATCAAAGATCAGTATTTGTTAAAACCACCATCTGCCATGGGAGCAAGTAGGTTTACCTACTTAATGATGTTTTGAAAAATTATTTCCAACTTTACATATTGAATAAATCGTTATTGTGTTACAGCAAGCAGTTTTGGCAGAAGAGCCTCTGATGGTGGAGCGAATTTGTACGTGTTCAATCAGCAATTACACGGTAGCAGTAACGGGGATGATGGAAGCTGGAGTCAGCCAGGCAGCAGAGAACACTTACAGCCTGTGAGTTCGTTGTATTTTTTTTCCCCCGTCAGTTTTGTAATCGTGTCTTTAAATATTTAAAAATAACAAACTGGTCACAATTTGTGTACTAAACAAATAGCTTGGCAGTCCAGCTCTTTCACCTGGTAGCACAAATAGTGGTGACAACAGTGCATGCAGCTCCTCAAGCAGTGGTAGTGATAGGCGGCAAAGGCGTACAGGTCTCACTACCGTCATGCAACGTCCAGGTATACCTTTTACGTTTTACGTGTACTGTCGGTGACGTGTCTACGGTTGCGCGCTCACTGCTAATCAAGATCTTGTTTATATTATTATTTACCACGTATCTCCGTTTTTTTTAATGCCTCGTAGAAAAAATAGTATGCTAAATGTATCGTTTATTGTGATTATTTGTTTCGATTACTACGAAATGTATGTATTATTATGATTGTAATTTTTTTTTGTTGCAATACGTAGTTTTATTATTTTTTAGTGTACCTGTTTAATTTAATTACATGATGTGTATCCAACGGATTGTTTTAGTTAATATTTTGTTGAATTTTGTTTTGTTGTTTCAAAAAATTTCCAATCACTTTGCTCTTTTGATACTCAAACTAAAATATTCTCATTGACGGGAGATATTACACTTCAGCACGTTGATAAATAAATTTTCCGATCATCCCATTTGTGAGCTTGAATCGATCGAAATCAGGGACTTCCCTGCTAAGTTTAATTTTTCCAATGAATTTACATGCGTCACTTGACCGAAATTCATTGCTTCACGCTCCCAAATAAATAATTTAAAAAAAAGATTTACGTCACAAAAAGGGCTGAGATGTGATGACTCACTGTACAGAACGAAGATATAAGAAAAAAAAAAAAAAAATAGTAATTCTTAATTATGTCCCGAACCCTTTTTTTATTTTGTTCTTTCTGTTTGGTTTTGCATGGTTTTGTTGTGTCCACTGCACACCCGAAAAAAAAAAAAAAAAAAACGAAACGAAAAAAAAAAATTAAACCAACCAATCAACACACGCACACGCATCGGCTTCGCCTTCTAAATAATCATCTCCACCTCGGGACCAATATCTCGGCGTGTACTTTTACCTCGTCCGCCTCAATTGACGAATCCGACACTCATTTCCGCCCGCTCGTTTGCTCATCCGCAACGCGATGGGTGTTCCCCATGTTACCTTCCTTCCGTCGCCCCGTCCTACTTTGCCCGCCTGCATGAGTACAGTTTTGAACCCCGAGGTGGTCGTGGAGGTGGAAAGCAGGATGAACCGATCTTACCTGCCGTCGAGGTTGCTGCCGGGCCACATGAAGGGCACTGGGGGCTCGGCCCTGCCCATACATCGGAAAACCTCCTATTACAATCTTTCCAGTACCGGTAAATCGCACTTTATCTGTTTCTTTTGCTTTATTTAGCTTAGTTTTTCTATTTTTTCTGGTTTTTTATTTATTTTTTATTTTTTATTTTTCACTTTCTTATTTATTTATTTTATTTCTATTTTTTCATTGTTATATTACCTCACTATCATGTTGCTCGCTAAATGTGCTTGCTATAAATGTTTTTACCTACATAGCATTGTATTATTTATGTGTCGTGTACGTATATATGTGTAGTACACTTTTTTTACAACTGCCAAAGTTGACGAGTCGTCAGAAGAAGACTGTTTCGACGTTTTGAGCCTGAAAATCATTGAAAGCGATACGTCAGAGGCTTCCAATAAGCTATTCGTTCATAACTTAGACTTGTACTTTACACCTATACTCCGTTTCACTTGCGAATACGCTTAATTAAAGTCTTTATTTTGTCTATTAATAAAGAATTAAAATTCTCATTTGTTTCGCTAATTTATGCCAATGATATTCATAAGTTTCAATTTACTTTGGTGATGAAATTTACTGTTAAATTTACAATATAGGCTGGATAGTAGTACACTGTTCATAATTATATTTGTTTTCTTGCGTAATGCGTATTTTTAATACTTGCGTGTATCGTGTAACGCTTTAATGTATATCCATTTCAATACTATTAATTTGTTTGAGTTAATCGAAACATTATCATCGTCAAAGCGATCGCGACTCAATAGGGCTGAAATTATTATAAAATTGAGAAAAAAGCCAATTGAGGCATGAAAATAACACATCGATGAAAAGTAATATTGAAAATCATAAAATTTCTGAAATCTTGGAATAACTGCAGCATTGTAACACCCACGACTTCATAAGAGATATTTTCTTCATCTGTAAAACAGTGACAAATTTGCGATGCATATCAACAAATTTTCAAAGTCTACATTTTTCTTGCGACACATGTAAGGTTCTTTGCAGGGATGTAATATAAAAAAAACAACAACAACAACAACGCAAATGAGCATACGTATGCTAAAATGTTTGTTGGGTAACAGGTTCGCGCGAATCGTACAAGGAGCCGAGCGCCCACGCGACGACCACCGAGCGCTACTCACCGGTGCGTCGAGCCTCGGAAGGCTCGGGTCCTCAAGGTCCAGGTATTCAGGCGCTACAGCAAGAGTACCAACAACTACAACAGAGACTCGCCTCGCCTTCCCACAGCCCCGCAAGCATACCCAGTTCACCCGTTCACGAACGAGGCATCGCTGTTATTACTCAAGGTAACTTGGATTGAATTTTCTCCGTAGGGAAATTTATTAACAAAACGGATGATTTATTCTGAGCGTTTAAATTCTTAGGTCTGAGTGGATTAACGACAGCTCCGGTCCAAGGTAGCATAGTCCACGGCACGCCGACGCAACAGCCCGCCACACCTCTGGACTTGAGTCCGATGAGGCACCACCGGTCACCAGCCACCACACCTGTCAACAGCTACTCGCCAAGTAACAGTCCAGCACTGGACATGATCCAGGAGGAGCATCACATTGACGTGCCAAGGGTAAATATCTTTTGCTGTACAAACCAATGCTTGACATTTTTTAACACCTTTTTACGAGGTGCACAGGCAGTTTTTTTTGTTTTTTTATTTTGAAAAAGGAAAATTGCATGTGAAGGTCGGAATATTAAAAATTAAAAACAGACGTTCAAAGTTTCGTCAGATTTTGTTGCATTGTTAGAGTTAAATTATGTAAAGTAGATCCCCTTTGTGTTCGGCCAGGTGCCGGCGCCACCGCCGTTGATATCGGTGACGGATACTCAAGGCGGCCAGGTGACGCTTGTAGGCCAGAGCCCATCACCGTCGACATCGCTGGACTCGCTGGAGGGTATGTCGGATTACAGCCCTCTGCCGACCTTCGTGATCTCGCAATCGTGCGACCCACAGAGACCGAGCATAACTCGGGGTATCGGCCGGCCGGGCTACGGTAGTAGTGGTGCCAGCACTCCCGTGCCCACGGAAGTCGAGGTCCCGCTGTCGGAAGAATCAAGCCAGCTCAACTCCGAGGATATACTTGGCCGCGTGAAACAGATAATCGACGCTCACGCGCCACCCACGGGTTTCCTGTTCTCGCCCAACCAGGAACTGGACGGTAGCGGCGGATTAAGTTTGGAGTATCCTGGTGGCGTGCAGATCGAGCTGAGGGTTTGCGAAAACGAGGAGAAGGAGGCCAAAGGCATCAAAATGAGGCGGATCAGTGGGGACCAATTGCAGTACAGTCAGCTGTGTCAGCAGCTGATCTCATGCATCACCGTTTGACGGCAGCCGACGGCGTCGTTGACCAATCTTCGTTCACTCCTCAGCGTCATCGTTCACGTAGTTATCCGAGCTTTTATTAAGAACTGGAGCGCATTCGCCGTTGGGAGCTGCTTTTGGATTGATAGGTGGCTCGTTTGCGTGTGGTTGGAGAATTGTTGATGGTAAGACAAGGAAAAAGACTGCTTATGTCGGCTTCTTTATTATTTAATCGTTGACCGATGCGATACTGATAATTCGCGTATTATCAATATCCTTTGTTGTTCTTGTTATTACTGTTATTGTTGTTGTTTATTAAGAAGATATAAGTAAGGAACATTGACGCTGAAGTGTTATTTCGTTATGCTTTTTCGTGTACAGTCAATGCACACGTGGAATTGCACCGGATAACATTATTATAATCTAAATCTTGAGAATTTGTCACTCAAGGCTCTCTTTCTCGAATAGATAGTTTTAAATAGCACATCTCAAAGTTTTTACATTGCAGTTTATTATAGCTCCTATTTCAATAGTTACTGTAGATAATACATACATAAGATAAACTGTCACTGAGAGAGTGTGTTTGTAGTCATTTGTTGAATTTTCAATCATTAGATCTCATAATTCTGAATTCGTTCTATATTAGAAAACTTCATTAGTTGTATTTTAATTGTATTTAATCCAATTTTGGAATACCTATCAAAAAGTGATAATGTTATTGCTTTTATTGGAAATTTTGTAGCTGAAATATTTTCTCTTATCTTCGTGACTTTCCTTTTTATGTAGAAAAAAAATATACGTCAACCTGTCGTACGTATTTTTTATAATTAATTCAAATATCACATTCCTAGAAAAAGAAACCGTGACGTCGTAAACAAATAAGGAGTTGTCGCCTTGTACAGCTATTATTTTAATACAATATTGCTATATTTGCAATATTTGCACACTGAATTTTCGAAAGTACTTGTGTTAAAATGAGGTATATAGGCTATCATGTATAGTATCTTTGTTTGATTTTTTTAAATTTTATTGTGCGACAAAAATTTTATCATCATTGAGCCAATTTTTTAACGAAATTTAATTTCAATTTTATTAGTGAACGAATATATGTAATTTGTTTATAAAATAAAAATGTAAAATGTTAGAAAGTAAAATTTGTTGCCGTTTGAATGAATTAGATAATTTTTCTTCATTTATACCAAAATTTCTTACGCTTATATAGTTTATCTCTTATGTTGATCGATGTAAATTTTATTAGAAAAATTGTGAAATCACTGTAATTGTGATTCCTCTCAAAAATTTTGGTTGGGATGAGAACGCTACGTCAAACCAAATCGCATAAACGAGCATTCCATCATTGCCTGCAATGATATGTGTAATTACTAATTTAAGATAATCGACTTTTTTACTGCATGTATAAATACATAGAACCAATTAAATCGAATATTTTTCAATTCATGTTTCGAAAATAAAAATAATTATTACTTAGTGTAATGGCAAGACCAAAAAAATTATGGGGTTTTAGCTTCGACATTTCAATGAAAATGTATTTATATACCGTGGTATATAAAGACTATCCAGGCCACGTGGTACATGCATATTACACGTGTGAACATATTACATGTTATTCATTTAAAAAATTGTTTTTACGTTAAATCTTGTAAAAAGGTTTCCTCAAATACGCACTCAACCTATCATGAATTATTATTTTTATCATTGAACATCAACGATGTATTTTTAAGAACAATGCGCTTTAATACAAAAGTTATAGAACAACAAATATCCATTAAAAGTTCTTGCAAATATATATTTGTTTTTATTTGCATATTGATATTGTCAACTTAGAATGAGCCTCAAAGACAAAAAATACTGTATGTACTGTCTCATATTTGTGTACATAAAAGATATTAGTGTAAATATAGCGTCATAATGGATAAGAGAGTCGCAAACTCTCGAAAAACATATGAATGTACAAAGTGAAACTGAGACGCGCAAAAACTACATTTCAGCGAAGATAATACTGCACAATTGTAAAATAGTAACGGAAGCTATGGAACCGACATCGCATACCTCGGTGTTCGATTATTGGAAAAACTGCAACACTTTGTATTTATGTAGTTTTTTTTAGTATTTTCTTGGACATTTTGGAAGCATCATTACTTATAGAACTGTAGGTGAATTAGAAATCGTCTCATTATTATGTGAAATTCATGAGCTAGGCACTGTAGTCATTGTTCAAGATTTATATGTTAAAATGATTCAATTATTCCGTAGAAAATTTACGACCACCACGGATTATGCCATGTAAAGTATGCACACATACAAAAGCTGGTGAAATGAAAAGTAATTATAACTTTTTTATTTATGAATAATTTTTTTAAATCGATAATAAATGCATATAGTTGAAAAATTATTCAAGTGTAGACGGTTTATATATTGTCAAATGTAACATGTAAGAATATGGATTACGCACACACTATCGTATCTTTATAATAATTGTACATAGTAAATATATGAAAAAAAAACTAACTCACACGCATACACACAAATTGTAAGAATAAAAGTAAACGGTCGTAAAGTATGATGTACATGTATGAAAAAGGCGCTTGAGAAAGGGACCGATGAAGATGCCGTGTAATATATAGATTGAAATTTAATGAAATTCAAAATATCGCGACGAGAATAGAATACAGATAGTATTTTCTGCTGTCAATTCTTCAACTAAGACTGTGATTTTTAAATATATTAATTATAATTAGATACTTGTTATTAATACACGCCAAGCGATTAAAACAGATTATCCAAACATTTTGTTGTTATCCTTATTTACAAACCTCTGAATATTTTTTTAATGATCATTTTCCACAGCCTCATTTTCATAATTTGCACGGCACGTAATTAAATTTTTATTTTGCGCGCCTTTTTGACTTGACCTAACCATACGGGGGGGATTGACAACCTAACCTACAAAGTAAACACTCACACATCAAATAAGTGTTTTTTTTAGTGTTATGTATTTTAATGACAGCATATTAATTTGTTAATGGACATCAAAATATGTTGGCTACTTACTACAAAAATGCGGAAAAAATTTAGTTTTTATAGTATTGTAACGTACGATATGTCTTTCCCACGTAACAGTATAAATATGTGATTGCTTTTGTAAGTCAATTAACAAAATGTTTGGAACAATACGTGACAAGTTTCAATCTATTCAAGAAGGCCTATCTGCAAGGTAAACACTTACTTGTCAAATGTTACATTTCTTTTACTATTGAATTCGCCAACACACTTATGTATTGTTAGTACTATTTACACAATTTGAATTCAACAATTGAAAAAAATTTATTTATTTAAATTTTAAAAGTTGAAACAATTTATTTTTTAGTTTACGTGGACTGACACTAGCAGAAAGTTCAAAGCCTAAAAAATTAATTACTATAAAAAATAAGGTTAATTACAATGCTGGAGCTGATTTGCTGCACCACTTTCAAATGGAATGGAACAATCTGCATGAATTGGCAGAGGACAATGCAGAAAAGGCTCAAGAAGCTGATGTATTGATAGCATCTATTCATGAAAAGCTAGAGTTTCAGTGGAATAACTTTAATGTGTTGAACAATACCTTAGCCTCCATACCACAAATTAATAACACAATACAAGGTCTAATGGATCAAATAGGTATGATTTTTTAATTTGTGTTCTATTGATTGATTATTAAATATCTGTAGGTGAATGTATACTTTACTGCTTTTTGTAAAAATGATATTAGGTTCTTTGCAAGAACAGTTTGAAGAGGTACACAACGCTCTTTTTGAGCTTGAAGATTTACAAGAGATACTGGATTTACAAAGCAGCCAACTTGATCACAGGTTCCAGTTAGCTCTGTACAAAGAAAAAAAATTGTCCGAATTAAAAAATATTAGAGGTAAATTAGTAAATAATATATACATCCAACCCCTGCAAAGCAGTAAAATAGATTTAAGAATAAATATTTGTTTTTTTCTTTTTTTTAAAGAAAAGTTATCAAATGATCATTCGATCAAAGTTTTGAGGCATGAGAAACAGCAGGAAAAAATTTTGAAAGAAAGGCAGCACACCTTTGGGGAAGCCTTCAATGAAGAGATGAATGAATATAAAAAGACTGGTTCTGTCCCAAGTGAGTGTAAAATAAGATTTGATGAGTAAAAAAAATGCTTTCTATTCCGAATAACTACAACAATCTCTACAGAAACGCCTTTAAATACACAAAAGGGTCTTAGCTTGGAGGAGATAATCCTTGACTCGGATTCCGCTGATTACGACGAATTCCTCAAAGAATAATATCAAGCAATATTTTTCGAGTATTTTACGCAAACCGTTGTGTTTATTTTGTTAAAATCTTGTCATTAGTCGTGGAGCACGTTTGTGGGGACCATGAGTTTGTAATATATCACAAAATTTATACATGTAATTTCTAGTGAGATGTGTAAAAATAGATACGTAAGTATATTTATTGCGTATACCGTCTCTTAATTTATTAATATTTTGTACAATAACAATTTTAGAATCCGGCTTTATCATCGAAACACGTTGTGTGCCGATAATTACAATTAATCCACTTTCTTATCTATTTTTATTTAAAATGTCGAGATGAATCGTTGTCTTGAGAATTGATTGCTATTTTGTTGGGCTCTTCTAGAATTCTGCTGAGTATCAACAGATTCAAAAGCTCGAGCTTGATTGAATGAACTTCCTTGTTGTTTGAATGATCTAAGATTCTGCTGAGGTTCATCCAACTGAACTGGCAAGAAAGCGTTGTCTTGTCGTGTTTGTGGTGGCTCGCTGAAATTAATTGTAAATCTCGTTAAACACACTTACTCAAGCAAGTGATTTCAAAAGTTTTTCTCATATGTATACGCATGTATGCATAGAAACATTACCATCCAGTAACATTTTCAGCAGCGTCGCAAACTCCAATGACCTCATTGAACGCTTGGCCCTCACCGCAGTTCTGCAGTCTTGGTCTATCATTCACGCATAGGAAGTAATGCTGACAGTCTCTCGGGCTCTTGTAAGTCTTGATCCCAGAACCGAATACGGCATTCTCAGTTGTCGGGCAAGAAAAACCAAGGAAAGCTGTATCGCGAAGAAACGTTTTGTTATTCGTTCAAAAGAAGTTGGAAGGAATAAAAAAAAACAAAAAAAAAAAAAAAACACTTATAGACGGAAGCGAACCACACCTTCGGCGTCACAGTCGTCGACCTGATCGGGCCAGTCGCAGCGATAATGTTCAGAATTGAAAGCCAGACCCTCGGGACAGTTGAAGGTGTAACCTCGGCCGTCGACGCAATTCATGAACTGGCCGCAGTTCCGACGATCTCCTATCTTGAAATATCCGTACTGATGGGGGCACTCGTCCGTCGGTTGAGCCGGCTCTAGGAATACACGGCACGTATACTCTCTGTTGCATGCAACGATCGTTCAGATCACCTGATGTAATTCATCAACTTACGAAGAGTGGCTCTGCCAATGCATTGGACGTCGTTGGGGTAGCCGCAAGGATAGTTGAACCTCGCATCAGGATTGAAGAGCAGACCATCGGGACACAACTTTTGCTCGGGCACGCCGTCGATGCACTCGATATAGGCGTCGCACTGGTTCGACACGACGAATCTGCCGTTACGCTCGGGACAAAGGCCGCTGTTGCGGGCAAGGTTGCCGAGGTTCGATTGCTGCTGGTTCTGCTGGCCAAAGTCCTCCAAGTTGCTATCGGCTTGAAATTGTTGCTGCTGCCGCTGTTGTTGTTGTTGTTGTTGTTGTTGTTGTTGTTGTTGTTGTTGTTGTTGTTGTTGTTGTTGCTGTTGGATGAAAAATATGCGCTGTTGCTGCCTCTGATTTTGGTTGTGGTTGTTGTACTGTCTGTAGTAGGATGCATCGTAGGTACGTTGCGCGTCTGCAATACCTGCAATACCAATAACTTTTTTTCTCTTCCATCTCTTCCTGATTTCATAATCATCATTTATCGGTATTTTAATTTCGACCGAAATTCTACATCCATCCAATCTACAACGAATTGGAAATCTTTGTTTATTACAGAAAAAAAAGGTCTACGATGTCTCAAATGTTTTTCCCCGGGAAACCATGAATATTCGAAATCGGTAAGGCAAAGAGAAATCCTACCGATATCTCTGTTACGCAACCGGGACCCCGAAAATCCACTTTTTTTTCCTTCCTCGATGACCCTCAGCGACGTGGGCTGTAAATTTCAAACTCCCAAAAAAAAAATCTCCGTTGCGCAATCATCATCTATGGAACAAAACAAGTTGAAAAAAAGAAGAAAAAGAAAAAGTGGCAGAGGAGCGCAGAAGGAAAGCTTCTCGAGCATGTGTATGATATACGGCCGTCAGAAGATGAGGAATAAGAAGAAGAAGAAGAGACTCTCCTGCAGCGACCTCGAAGCGAACCGTGGCTTTCGATATGTATTTCTCTCCTTCTCTCGCATACTCTCATCCAACTTGGTGGTACATTAAACATTGTGCAACTCGCCGGGCCCGAAACGCGTATACAAAAACGTCCCCCCAAGGGCCCAAGTGTATATTATGTATGCTCGCGCGCCATATATTACATATATATGGGCACGGGACTTGTGTTCGCATACATTAAATTATGGGCCCAATATACGTTGTGATTACCTATCGTTATTTTCGTAGGACCAGCCAAACGAAGAATTAGACGGACGAGCGGGTTATTCATTCGTCAAAACGGGGGAGTGGCGAGGCAATTTCTAGAAATTCGAGAAGATCGGCAAGGTGAGATAGCGAGAGGGAAAAGCTTTGTCGGGTCGGTTGAGCGGATTCCCTCTCGTTTGGACATGGATTTTTTTTCGTAATTGAAACTCCCGAATAATCTTGTGTTCATTTACTACAGAACAATTTGTAATCCGCATGTACATGACTATGTCAAGGGAGCCTTGAAAAAACAAAACAATAAACTGTAATATAAATTCACTACCTGGTGCTGCTGCTATACTTATATGGGTCTCATATTTTGGCTTAACGAAAATTAATTTAATAGCTTCGATATTCATTCGCGTCACGGCGAAGAAGCGCACGCGTTACTTTATATTTACTTTGGCGCATAATTCGCCGATCAAAAAACACATCACAGAACCTCGAATGATGAGACAATAACAATATTTGATTTATGGTAGTTATTGTGATTTTTTTTTTTTTTTTCTTTCAAACCACACCGAGGATAAGGTAATAATATACAATAATGAATACTCTCGACGGTGTGTCCTTTGTGAAAAAAACACATATTGCCGATGACGTCGTGATCCTGAAAAGATCGCGTAATAAACCCGTCAAACTTCTCGCGGCTTATGAAAACCCGCCAAACAGGGTTACACCGAAAACGCAATGACAATGACATAAGACGTAATTTATTTCTCTTTTAATTCTCGATTTAAATAATCGTGCAAAATCGTGCGTCGGCTCTTTGTATTATCGTGACGTTTTGACACGTCCGATTAGCTTGATCGATCGAAATGCTGGGCAATATTCAACGGTGCAAATTAAAAAAAGACGCAGGTGAGACTGGATTATTTAGAAGAAAACAAAAATCGGTTGAAAAATCGGTAACAAACGACACTTGGCTCAAAGCAATGTAATCCAAAAATCGGTTAGAGTTATTTAGTTTTAACTGATAGTCCTACTTGCTACTGCAATTATTTCACAAGCAACGTAAACCATTATCCATTAGTTTATAAATTCAATGAGAGAAAAAAAAATCGGTATACTTACAGGCGCCAACGAGCAGACACAAGAGAGCGGACCCTACTATCCGAGCCGATCGTGATGGTTCCATGTGTACTTTTTTTTTTTGTTTCTACTTAAGTAACAAAAGTTTACCGAACAAAAATTAAATCGACCGAAAATAAATAAAGCCAAACTGGGCTCCTGTGGGTCCGTGCTTCCGCGAAGTCGATCGAGCAGAGACTATGCGCGTTCTCTTGGACCCATCTGCCTTTTCAGTGTTGCAAAAGAAGAGGGCCCGCGGTGGAAGACGATGAGCCGAGAAAGAGACGGAGAACGCGAAAAAAACGAGGAATCGTTCAGACGACGATTTGTCGAAAAACGAAGGTGGGGCTATTCGAGTAACTCTACCTCTATCTCTTGATCGTAGAGAGAGGCGAGAGATCGTTTGTTCATACGCAGGTATACAGCATCAGCTCATCTTTTTGATATGCCTTGCGGCTTATTTTTTTTTTTTTTCCTCTGACGCAACACCACCATGAGCGATCACGATTTTTTTTTTCCATCACGTTTTTGAACATTGCTTGTTCGGACAACACCTCTACGTGCGTCACTGGTGTACTAATTGTTTTTTTTTTCCAACTAAGTAAATTTGATGAGTTTTCACACGGTATGGAATATAATATAATATTATGTGCTCACGGAGAGCTGACGGAAACGCCGATTTTGCTTCGTACATTAAAAAATAGTAGCAGCAGGTGAATCAGTTTTCACATTTGTGTACTGAATATATTTTTTTTGTTTTTCTTTGTGTTTTTTCCCACGTGCGATAAAACATTGACGTCTTGACGAATATTTTCTCGTGTATATAGAAGTATATAATATATTCCTCGTGATGAGAAACGTTTGCGGTGGACCTTTAGTTTGCGGTAACACGTATATAATTATTTCTCTCGTGTTCCGATGCATACAATTACCGATTACCGTATGTATGTATATACCATGTAGCATAAACATAATATACATATATTATATATCTAGAGGGTAAAAACATGCAATGTGATTATCATCACGCAACAAAATCTAACGATTTTTCAAATAAATGTTTGCTTCTTCTTCAATACGTTGAGTTATTGTTACTATATAAGTGCATGTGAACATTCAAATTATGTCAGTTATTCTAGAGTTGCGTGATATTATCTAAATTGAAAAATAAAAATTTCAATTTGAAGGTCTACTCATCGGAAGACGATTACCGAGGATTATGCTAAAATCACTTTTACTTTTTTCTCAAAAATATATATACTTACTTACCTCATGAAATGTAAATTATCTGTGCAGTACATCAGAGTAACTCGTTTTTTTTTTTTTTTTTTTTTTTCATTTCATAAGCTGAGCTCAAATTTCGTTTTATTCATACATCCCATAAAATCGTGTTATAACATTTTGAATTTCCATCGAATGCAAAACAGAGTCTTTGAATATTTTGAGAAAGCGTTTGTAACACTTTTCGTTGTAATACATGAATAATGAAACAACAATGAACGATTTGGTTGACTTTTTACTGAAACCTCAATTCATCGTAATGTCGTTGTAACTTCACAAACATGAATAAAAAAATTATGTCTCTTCGTTTCAGAAAGCAACAAAAAAAACTATAATAATAATAACGGCACCATCTCGACACATCCTTCCCGCCTCTGTTTGACACATATCGACAGTAATCGATAGGTTGTACTGAACATCGAATTCGATGCACGTGTGACGAGAAAAAAAGACAGCGCTACGAAGGACAATCAATGAAAACAAAAAAAAAGGAGTCCCTGAAAGGGGTGTTGTCAGAGGTGTTGTTCATCTCTAGAGTAATCATTTTAATATGAATACGCAAAGATGATCTAATCGAGGTAACAAAGTAAAAAAAAAGTTATGTGATCCTCTTGGCAGTGTGTATTGACGTGCTCGGCCTCTTCCATCAACGGCGCGTGTGGTTCGTTACGCTCGACAAACAACAAAGCTTGCTTACTTAAAAAAAAAAAAATCTGAAAATAAAATAAGTACTCCACACGTTGTCATGGTGCCTCAATGAGCAATTTGTTTACGCGAATTCTATCGTGAAGAAGAAAGAAGATAATCATGAGTACGAAGACACTGAGTGCAGTGGCGGACGACTACTTTTACAGCATCAATCCACTGGCCAAGAGGATAGGCGAGGATGTGACTGCGACCAAGGATGCCTACGAGGGTCTGTGGAACACTCTAAGTCCCGAGGAACGCAACCAAGCTGTCGACGAGACCATCATTCAGCCCGAAGTTGCTCTTAAATACGCCTCCAATAAGTTGGAGTCCTCCAAGGACTATCCGGACTATTATCCCAAGCTGAGGATACAGACAGGACTGAAGTACATGATCGATGAAACTGGCTCTGTAAGTGTCTTGAAAATTCTATCTGTTGCTTACTTTGTGTGGAATTTACTTTAACGAATTGCAATTTGTTATTTAGACGCTGAGATGGAAGGACGAACACTCGGCTCCGTTCTCCTTCATGACGCAGTCCCAGATGAATTTCGATTGTTTGGACCAAATGGGAGACTTGCACTCCAAAAACATGTCTAGTTATATATCGGATAAGTCGCATTTTTCAAACAGTTGTAATTTGAGTAATTTGAGGAACGGGGATGATTCGTTGGAGGATAACTACAGTTCGCCATCCAGCCAGATTAGCTTTTATCAGACCGAAAACTATTCTGATACCATATTTTCTACCGAGGACTGCAGTACCATTCGCAGTAGTTGTGTCGACAGTGAGACCTCTGAGGGCATGTTTGCAAAGTTGATCAACAAGACGTCTTTGTTGAAGATTCAGCAGAACAGTTCGGATGATGATATGGAAAATTTGGTACCTCAAAAAAAGACCAAGTCTTATGCCAAAGCTGCTGATGAGAATAAAATGAATATCAGTTTTGGTGGACATCTCAAGGCCAATGATATTGAATCAACTGCCCTTCTTGATACTCCTAGCTCGTACAGTAGTTATCAGTCGTCGCAGCTCAATCAAGAGCCAGAAATTCCAAAAACTGGATTTGAATTTTTAGACAATTGGTAACTTTTTCTTCAAGAAAAAACTAGGTGCTTAGTATCTAGAATATTTATGTCCGTCATGATATATAATAATTAGAGTAGCAATATTCAGTAGTAAAGCAGTATAAACTTTTATTCTCAAACGTACATTTTTGTACTGTAAACTGCTGTATTTTTAATTATCTAAACAGTATTTTAAATCAGGATAAAATGTGCGAAATAATTGATAGACAAAAAAAACATTAAAATAAAAGTATTTTTAGTACTGCAATAAAACCATGACTAACTGAGTAACAGGATTCACACATAAATTCTGTAATTACTCTTTAAAAGGTAAATAAAACTATGTAGTTTTGTGAATGATATCATGGTTTGTGGTATTAATTAATTTTTATAAACCGTTTACCGATTCGATAAAACTGCAATAAAGACTGCTTTATACCTCCCATACTTAAAATAAAAGACTGTAGCTGTGTTGTTTCTGTTTCATAGATGTGAGAAAAATACTTTGCATAGAAATAGTACAAATTTATATACGTTTTAATGTTAACTACAGACCAATGCGCAAGTCATGTAATCTTTTTCATGAACGATTGAGAAACACGCAAGTGAACAATTTTTAATAGTCATAGTTCGGTAGACATTCTATGGAATTTTATATATATTCTTACATTTATAAGAAATAAAATTTTATGAAAAATCTAATAATCGAAGCTCTTATTGTCCTAAATTTTTTTTTATCAAGTCACTTAATCCTGCAGAATAAAGAATGTTTGTACTCTTAGATGACGCGGTGCAAACACTGCAAAACTCCCCAGAGTTGTCTTTCAGGTGGACATCATCAAAATAATTTCTAGATAAAAACGAAATGTACTTCTTACTTTCATTAATTTGATCTCAAAATTTTTATTGCGACCGAGTAAATACACGAAAATATAGAAGCCCGGTCACGACATCTGAATTTATATACGCATAAAAACGCACAAGAATTTAACAACTATGAGTACTTACACAAAAACACGTAACATGAGTGCACGAAAGCGCGCACACAACAAGTTACAAAGCAGACGGTTTCTAAGTATTTCATTTACTTAAGTACAGCCGTTCGATTTTATTAAACCATGTAAGTAGAGAATATCTATACTTTTAGAAGAAGATTTTCGGGTAAAAGATAAATTAAATTAAATAAATTAAAACTTGCCGCAAACAGCACAAAAAATGTCCACTTCTTATCTCCTATCTATAAAATTAGTTGCGGCTGGTTTATAATTGATTTAATGGATCGACTATAAGTAGTAATAATTATTTGGATCAGAGCCATCTAGCGGTCGTGATTTTTTTGGCCAAAAATTGCTTCTGAAATTCTGAAGGAGAGCTTTAGGCAGCTTAACCTAGAGCCATTTAATTACTTATAAACCAGCCGCCACTTATTAGAGAGATACAAAATAAAAAGTTAACATTGATTGTGTTATTTGCGGCAAGTTTACAATCTATCTATTACCCGAAAGTGTAAATATTAAAAAAGTCGATATTCGAGTGGAAGATAAATTGAAAACTTGCCGCAAACAGTACAGACATCGTTAACTTTTTATTTTGTATCTCTTTGATAAGTTGCGGCTGGTTTATAAGTGATTAAATGGCTCTAGAGCTAAGCTGCCTAAAGCTCTCCTTCAGAATTTCAGAAGCAATTTTTGGCCAAAAAAATCACGACCGCTAGATGGCGCTGATCCAAATAATTATTACTACTTATAGTAGATCCATTAAATTAATTATAAACCAGCCGCAACTAATTTGGTAAATACAAAATGAAAAGATAACATTGTTTATGCTGTTTGCGGCAAGTAAACAATTTATCTTTTACCCAAATATCGACTTTCTACATATTTATACTTTTGGATAAAACATAACGCGGTAATTCATTCCGGAAACCAAAGGCAAAGCCTACGCGCGCGAAACGACTAAGCGCCAAACGCGTCCCTAAGTAATCGAATTATCAGCGCCGAGCGCGATAGCTAATCCATGCGTTGCTCAAGCCACGATCTGTTGCATTGACAAATAAACACAAAATTGTGTTTATAAGGTGTTGGGGGAAGTTCACCAATGCTTGGTAACAAAAAACAAAGTTCAAAGTACTAGGAAAGGACACTTGTGGAGAACAAACCAGGAAATGAGAATTGATTGAGTTTTAAATATTTTTATGTAACGGTATTTCTTCTCGTTTTAAAAAAGTATGCATGTGAAAAATTACAATTTATTTTAATTTATTTTAAAATCTAATCTCACACGAAGTAGTTTACAAGAAGAACTTTCTACGACTAGTTTCCATCTGGTGTCGTCTGCCTTGGATAATCCATTCGAAATTGCCATATTTACTATCGAACGTACCATGCTGCAAGGATTTCACTCTTAAAGTAAATCTTGGTCCCAATTCGCGCAACCTTGGCTTGGCGGTCTCTTTGTCAAATTCGTATCTGAAAAAAAAAAAAGCTTTAGTAAGATGTAAAAAAATGTAAATCTATATTTTGATACATCAACTGTAAATTTGATGTACTGGATATTGCCTAATTGATAACGTGATGTTTCAGTAAACTCTCAAGTACTGT